GGAAGTGGACCTGGAACTGACCTATTCGAAAAAATCTTATTTATAATTCGCTTTACTGGAAATTCGGTGCATAGGTAGAATTTTACTTATATTGACAAGAATGCTACATGATGTAAAACGAGGGTACACGGTTATAGGATGAGAAAGAAACAATAAATAATAGAAGGTATCTGTCCATGAGTCCGAGTCAGGTGGAATCAGCCCACTCCATCTATATACTCACAGATGTAGCCATGGACTTTGCCGTGACTCCTGTTCTTGGTAAGGTCCCTCATATAGTCGTACGTATAATGTCTGGTTTTACGTTTGTCCGTCATTGTTAAATCATCAGTAGCCATCCATTTCCACCTTTTTGTGCAACACTCACCCCAACAAAATGCATTTCTACTGCATGGTATCATTCAGGAATTCAATCACATTGTATATTTTTAAGCATAAATTGACAATGTATTTACCAATACTTAAGTCTAATACCTATTTAAATTACTCTTTTATACCAAAAAAAATTCAAAAATCCCAATAACTCAAATGATAACAATTATAATATAACAAATAAATATTGCAACATGTAGTATCTGCTGTTATCTATATGTATACCTATTATGAATATGCGAAAAATTCAGCAACTACTATACCTCTTTTAAAAATCTCTATATTATCTACAATCCGCACTTACCGATCTCGCTGGATGAAGGCGCCAGCATAAAGGAGATGATGAGCTGAAAAAGAGGAAAAGATAAAAAAGAACATGTGTACTGACCGAAAACCTGTCAAAGGTCTATAAGACGATGACAGCTAATCCCATATTCAATATTACATAGCATACCATACCATAAATAATGGGTTTTCGAATAAGTCGATCCCTGGTTCACTTCCCAGAGAGAAATAGCGTATTCCTGTTAATATAATATAAGCAAAAAGACACCTATGTACCGAATTTCAAGTAAATCGAACCACAACTAAGGTTTTTTTTTAAAAGATATAAGAGATTAAAATTTCTTTTAATTTAAGCAAAAAGACACCTATGTACCGAGTTTCAAGAAAATCGATACATAAATAAGTATTTTCGAATAAGCCGGTCCCTGGTTCACTTCCCGGGGAGAAATAGCGTATTCCTGTTAATAGAAGCAAAAATACACGTATGTACCGAATTTCAAGTAAATCGAATCATAAAGTAGATTTTTTACAAATAGCTCATCGGTTCGCCATCCGCAGAGAAGTGTGGTCTACCTGCTAATTTAAGAAATTTTCGATCTATGTACCGAACTTCAAGTAAACCGAACGCGTCAACGGCGCGAAGAAGAGTTCTCTTGTTAAATTAAGCAAAAAGCAACCTACGTACTGAACAGCAATTTCTTCCAAAAATAAGTTTTTTATTATAAGTCAGTAACAGTGAGTATTTTTATTTTAACTTAAGCAAAAAGACTTCTGTGTACCTAATTTCAAGTAAATAAATAAATCGGTTCATGGACCACTTCCCGGAGAGAAGAATCTAACCATAAATTAAATTTTATTCACTGGTCAACTTCTTGGCGAGAAGAAGAGCCCTCCCGTTAAACTAAGCAAAAAGCCACTTAAGTACCAGGCATCAAATAAATCCAGCCATAAATAAACTTTTTTTGAAAAAGCCAGTCCCTAATCCGTGG